TTCGCCCATCCAGGAAATGTAAGTGACCCACCCAGTAACTAGCCCTTCCTCTTGGGACCCACTGCACACAATGTGCCTCAGTGGGAAAGAAAGCAATTGTGTCATTTGTGTCAGTGACTGGGCATCTGGCAGCTTTGCCTCTGACTCTGGCCAAGGAAAGCCTCTTCCAGGTGGGTTCCTAGTATCACTCTCCCACCACTGGCTCTCAGACTCACCCATCTGTGATGCTGGCTTGGGACAGCGGGTATCCCACAGTAAAATCCTACTGTCCTAAAAGAAGGAACAGAAAAAGGGCTTCACAATCCAAAGAAGCAGCTGCTGGCCAGAAGCCCTCCACGCTAGACTTAGGTCTAAAGGGTCTGAGTGCGGTTAGGATGTGGGAAGGGAAAAAGAGATTATATCTCACCTCACCACATGAAAGAAACACAGAATCCTTGTGGGGAGAGGCAGCAACACAGGTGACCTGCCCAGAGTGAGCTGTAAAGGAGACAGAACAAGAAATAAGACAGAGAAGATGCAGGCATTACTATCAAGCAGCCCAGACACTATGAAGGGGTAGGAGGGAGGGTGTGAGAAATAGGCCTAGTCTCATGATGCAAATTAACAAATTCTGTGAGATTTTTGGATTAGATGAAACCTAAGAGGAAATGTTGATATCATTATAAAAACTCAAAAGGCCTGGAGAAAAATGAATCATGAAAGACATGAAAGATAAATTAAATGCTGAATAAGAACAGGAGAGGAATTTACAGTAAAGACATCCTAGAATAGCAGTAGCACACTTGCCTCCAGGTAGCATACAAAGACTTCTGAGGGAGTTCTGGACACTGCGAGTTTTAAGGGAATTTCTCTAATGTTCTTCTTCCATATTGAACTGAGAAGCTGCCTATAACCTGCCAGCAGTGCTGACCTCTACTCTCACAGTCACCCTTCTCCCATGTGTAGAAGAAATACACACCTCTCACCCACCCCAAACCTTACCATGATGCTCAGGAGTATAAAAACCTAAGGCATAAAACAAAAGGGGCTTTTCCTGAGACAAAGAAAGAGCACTTGTGTAAAATTCTGTGAAGGAGGCTGGCCTTTCTCAGCCACACCACAAACACAAGTGTGGTTCTGTGACTGATCTCTTCTCTTTAATAATGAGAATTTTGAAACATATGACAGGTGGTTGTCATAAGGACGTACATAGCTTATCTGAATTTAAAAATGAAGTCAGACTTTTTCTGACTGAAAGTTAAGTCCCACTTGGCCAACTGGCCTAACAGTGTATATGGTTTTTGGCAGTTAGGTTATTTGGTAGATGTTTTACATAAATTAAATCAGCTTAATCTGCAAATCCAAAATTTTGACAAACATATATTATAAAAGTGTACAATAAATGACATGGCCAGATATAACTTTCTTTGCAACTAGTTAAATTTAAATTAGATACTAATTTTAAAATGTGTGAGAGGGTACACTTTTTCACAATTCTTTTAGGGCTACATGCTAAGAATGTTAAAGGTCTCCGCTAAATGTTAATTACAGGCTGTGGAAACCACCTTCTCCAAAGTGATTTAACCAGACTTTCTGAGATAGTCTGAATGTGGCTCTGCCCTGAGACAGAAGTGTGGGCTCAAACTACCTTCCATAGAATCCATGGAAAGCCAACACGAGGAAAAGGAATGTATTGCTCACTTGAGAAAAGCAAAGCTTTGGGACAAACACCATGGGGGAGTACAAAAGATGAAAAAAAAATATGTGGTTCCTCTGCCCTCAAGGAATTTGGAATCAGTGGGGGGAATAAGAATAAACACAAAGAACTAATTAAAAAGGCTGAAAGGAACAAGTGCTGAAAAATAGTTATTTAGCATTGACCAGAAAAACACATCGTAAGTCTAGGAAACAAAAGGCAAGTACAGTAGACTTTGAGCACTGACATTTTAACATTATTGTCTAACTATCTGCAAGTGACCATGAAGCTCCAGGAGATATATGAGTTTATGATTTTGCTTCGCTCATATCTGAATCACGCACTTTGAAGTTAGAACTGGCAGAGAAAGGCACTTAGTCACTGGGGGAACCAGTGATCACCCATATCTACATCTCTTAGCCACACACACATTAACGCTCTATACATTATCTTCATTAAGATTTGGTATCTTCATGAGGAACGGCTCCCAAAATAAAGTCAACTGCTAGTGCTGCTAATGAAAGTGAGCAGAAAAAGGAACATTAATAGAAAGTGATGGTTCTCACCAAAAAAATGAGATTTTATAGAGGTGAATATTCAAAAGTTCAAGATTCACAAGTATCAGGGTTTATACTTGGAGAATGCCAAAGATCTACAGTGATTGGGTTTAGATAGCATGGTATGCTTGAAGGAGTGACAGGAAAAAGGCTTGAATGCCAGGACATGAACATGAGATTTTAACCTGCAAGCCACAAGAAACCAATGAAAAACTAAAGATTACAGGTAGAACAATGAGATGAGTGCCACCGTCTGTAATAAGATAAAGCCTGAAAGTAAATGGGAGCATAAGAAATGGAATGGAAGGTCACTGACGAAATGGAAAAAGACTCCAAAGAACTTGGGGACCAACTGATAGTGGGAAACAGGAGGAGTGGAAGAGGACTGGGATTTTCAGCCTCAGGTGACCAAGAAGGTGGTGAGGCTGTCAATAAAAAAAAAATATATAGGGAAATTATGAAAAGGGCTAGAATCGACATTGGAGCCTGACCGTAGTTTTGGAAGAAATATACTACCAGGCAGGAGAGCAAAGAATTGATATCACTAACATGCAAGCAAAGTTCAAAGAGCCCAAAGGGGAGAATAAAAACAAAACAGCCAAGGCCAGGACTGAAAAGGAAAGAACATGCACTCACCTCGGTATGAGTTCAGAATCATCTGCTGAGCAAGGTCCCAAACTTTGATGCTAAGAAGCAAAAGGAAACAGAGGCTTAATTTGACCTACACTACCTACATAAAAACGTGTGTTCAAATAAGAACGCCTTATGTCTTTGCCTACTGGACTTCTGGTACAGCCTACTTTTACCATGGATTGCAAAAATCTCTAAGAAAACCTTATAGGCATGTCATAATTAGTCACTGGGTTCTTATAATGAGCCCAAAACATAATTTAATGAGGCTAATATGATGCTAAAGACACCCAAAGGAGGCCCAGAAACAGGAGCGATGAGAGGAGGGACCCACCAGAAGTCTTTGCTACCACTGACAGCTTGCATGCCAGAGCTTAGGACACTGACTGTAGACACGATGTCATCATGCTCATACTTGCAGAACTTGCTGACAATTAGTGTCTCATTCTCATCCAGCTCCCACAATTCAACAGCACCTGTTGGGGGTGGGGAGTAGGGTGAGGGAAACAAACTTGGATTATGCCAAGACAGAAATTCGCTTCTAGGATTCTAAGCTCTCAGGAGACAAGGAGGAAATCTCCCCAATGATCTGAGTAGCACAGAGGCCGTATGGTTAAATATTCCCAGTTATTTGGACACTAAAGTATTTGTTGAACAATTTGAATAAATGTCTTAGAGTCTTAGTTATGTTGAATAACATAAAAATATGTTGTACAGTGACTAAGTATAGAAAATCATCAGATAGCTGCCCTGAATATAGAGTGTTCAAGCTCAATTGCCAGAGAGGCTCAATCTTTAATGTCCCACACTTATCCTTCCATGCAATGCCTGCCAACGTCCATATTCTGATTTCTTTTTTTTTTTAATGTCAAAGCCTCCATTGCTGAGACTGACATTCAAGGCAAAGAAAGCAGAATAAAGGCATTTAAGAATAAAATGGGAAGAAATGGAAAGAGCACAGATTGGCCTCGGCATCATCTTTAAGATCAAGATTATCCTTGGTTTGGGGTTGGGTGGATACAGAGAAGAAAAATAGTTCCAATTAATTTCTTAATTTTGTTATGGATTATACTAGGAATTTCCACCAAACAACTTAGAATCTTCGGGAAGGTATTGCCTACCTACACAGTTACTCTCCTTCGGGACCAACACCCTCAAGCTTCCCCAAGCACTAAGTATGGGATTTTAAAAATTGAGCACAGCCCGACCTATACCCATGGCTTCCATCCCACCTGTAAGGTTGAGGAGAAAGTGACTCACCTGAATCGGAAGCCACTAGGATACCTCTGTCCCCTACCCAAGTGAGGTCAGCCACTCCGGCCTCCGTCTGGACTCCAGCGGAGCAGAAACCTTCGTTGGGGGCGGCACAAGGGTCTTTGAAAAGCCAGAGGGAGCCAGCCCAGCAGCGGCCACTCAGGCTAGAAGCCCCGAGCAGAAGCGCCCCATCTAAGGGAGATACAAGTTGTCAGCGCGTGAGGAGTGGAAGGGCTAATCTCCCTGGTGACCGCCCAGCAGCCAGCTGGCCGGGTCTGGATCGAAGCCCGGGAACGCCGAGCACGGCTGGGGACTGAGCTCAGCGACGCGAGGCAGGGGTGAGGATGGCATGCGGGGTAAGCGGGGGGCTGGGGGAAGGCTGGAAGGTTTAGTCCCGGGAAAGGGCATTCGGGGTGGGGTGAGGGAACTCCCAGACCCAGGACCTAGGCTCACCCGACCGGTACCGCGCAGCCTCCAATTGCCGCTCCATACAGGCTGGTGCATTAGGGGGAAGGTTCCACTCCCGGGCCTCCGGGGGCACTAGCGGGGGCGGGGTTTCCTTCCGCATCTCCACGATTCCAACTCCAACCTAGACCCAAACTGGACGCCCGCCGGAGACTCAGCTCCGCGAGCCACCACGTGGCCCCGCTATAGGCCTCCGCCCCTCTGGCCAGGCTACAGCCTCTCTACATCTCGCGAGAATTGCTTCTACGATTCCACTCCCGTTTCCAGCGAGCAACCTCTTGCCGCGGGCTCTCAGTGCCCCGTGCTTCTTATCGCAAAAAAAAAAAAAAAAAAAAAAAAGACCGGAAGTTGATGAAAAGGGCACGATGTTCTCTTCTCGCGAGACTTGTGAGCGACCATCTTGTTTCTGCCCCTGACAGAGTCTCCTGTAGCGGTCACTGGGGCGCGAAGACTGTTGTGTGCACGATACCTGACAATGCTGTCCCGGGTGGTACTTTCTGCCGCCACCGCAGCAGGTGAGAGGTGCAGACCCTCGTCCAGGCTAGCAGAGTGATTGCAAACCAGCGCGTCTAGGGTTACTTGGAACGGGTGGGAGGAAAGGGGATGAAAGGCGCGGCGGGATTTGGGCCTGCGTGGAGAGTTGATTAGTGCCGCTCAGAAGGAGAGTGTGGGGTCTCGGGGGATAGGAATGGGGGACGCATGGCCTTAGTGATTGAGCTCCGCGGGGACCGAGGAAGGGGCAAACCAGATTTCACGGTGACCTTGCTAACCTGTGCCTTGTGTATTTCTAGCTCCCTCTCTGAAGAACGCAGCCCTCCTCGGTCCAGGGTAAGTGTAAGGGGTGTAATACTCCCTTTTGTACTTGTTTTATCACCTATTTCACTTCTGGGTAATCTGTTCTTAGCTTTGGGCCGGTAATTACCTTTCTTTAGGTTATTTTGGAACGCTTCAAGTCTCATTCAAACATGTGTGCTCCTGTTACTGCCTGGAATACCGTTGTGTCACTTAATGTGTTCTAACTAAACTAGAAACTGGTTTTGGTGTCCCCTAAGCCCCGCCCCTCTCCCTTGTGACCTTCAGCTGGGCACAGCTGCGGCATCCCTAGTCGGGGTTACTAGATTGCATACCCTAGGACAAGTTCTGTTAAATAAAACAACGAAGCATATTGTTTTTAATCTGCCTCCCAGACTCCAACTTTTACTGTCAGGTCAGAGAAATTATTCGTCGTTTCAGTAGATATTTATCTTGCCACGCACGTAACCGAACATAAAAAAATGAGTAAGGTTAAGTACCTGCCTTCGTGGACCTCACGCACAGTCTACCAGAGGAGGCAGCTATAAAATGGTAGTTTACAGCGAGGATTCCAAAGCTGAAAGAGGGTACACCGGGCTCCTCCACTTACAAGTGGGACCTTACTGTGGGACCTTAATTTCCCCTTCTGCAAAATAGAATAGTACATTATGGATTGTGAAAATTAAGGGAATTAATTCCTGGGAACCCTAAAAACAGTGCTTGGTACATAGTATGTGCTTAGTAAATATTAGAAGGTGTTACTGATATTTCATAAAACGTCAGTTTTCTTTGGGATTTCTCTTTTTACTTCCAGACTTAGTCCTAAATCTTGAAAAATTTGATAACAATCCTGTAGCTTGAAGAAGTGGCTTTGGTTTATCTGTAATTGTTGTATAAGCAATAAAGTGAGGCTATAATTGGCTGTTTCCAACTTCTCAGAGAAGAAAGATTCCATATAGACAAGTAAATAATTGTAATATAGATAATAAATACATATACAAAATGCAAGGAACATCTTTGATTTCTCTTTCACATTTCATGTCTAATGCATTAGTAAGGCTCTTTCTCCAGATGATATCCAGACTCTGACCACTTCTTCCACTACTACTGCTACTGGAGTGTGAACCACCATCACGTTTCACCTAGGCTATTTCAGTTGTCTCCTAACTCGTCTCCTTGAATCTATATTCTTGTCCCATTACAGGCCATCCTCACAGTAGCCACAGGGATTCTGTCAGTCCCCCCACCCTTCCCCTACAGAGCCCTCTAGAGCTGCCCATCCCACTTGAAATCAAATCCAAACTTACCTTAACACAGAAAGTTCAACATGAGTTGACCCCATCCTACCTCTTGATTTACCTTCTTACATTCTCTTTTAAGCTCATTCTCTAGCCTTACTGGCCTTCTTGCTATTCCTCTGAAAACTGCCAAGCTTATTGTTGCCTCAGGACCTTTGTACTTGCTTTTCCCTCTTTTCCCCAGGTCATTGGCTCAAATGTCATCTGATCTACCAAAAAAGCCTTTCCCTCACTCCATTGCTCCTTAGCCCCTTCCTTCACCTGTTTTTCTTCATGGCACTTAAAACTGTCTGAAATTGTGTATGGACCTATACACTCACACTTCCCAAACCCCCACTAGAATGTCAGAGGCTGGGACTTTGTCTGCTTATATACTCCCAGTGCCTAATATAAGCAGAAAGTCAGTAAATGTTTTGTTGAGTGAGTAATTGTTAACCCAAGATTGGAAGGCCTTTATAAAGGATATACTCAAGATGTTCTGAAGGCTGGTTGGTCTTGGCAGTCATTAAGTGGAAGGTATACCAGGCAGAAGGAGCAGCATGAGTTTTTTTTTTTTTTTTTTTTTTTGGTTTTTGAAAACTGTAAGTAGTTCCATATGGCTGGAGAGTAGGAGAATGAAGGAAGATGAGGATATAAAATTTGACAGGTGCTGAATCACGTATGCTGTATTAAGTAGTTTGTTTTCTGTGGGCAGGAGAGAGCCTGTTGAAGAGTTTTAAAGTCAAATTTGCATTTTAAAAACTTTCAAAGCAGCAGGGAGGGGGCTAGGTTCAAGGGATATTTGAGGAGGAGCCAAGAGAACAGATTTTGGGTTACTTACTTGTTCAGGCAGGAGTAGATGAGGGCTTGAAGTGAGACAGCCAGTTAGGGAGAGGATTTGTGTTCCCCTAAAGCAAGTTCTTTAGTGCTATGATTTAAGTCAGTGGTTCTCAACCTGGGGCAGTTTTGCCCTCCAAGGGACTTTTGGCAATGTCTGGAGACATTTTTGGTTGTCACCACTGGGTAGGAGGGGGGATGCTACTGGCATCTGGTGTACAAAGGCCACAGGGATCCTCCTAATTACTCTAAGTGCACAGAACAGCCTTCCACAACAAAGAGTTGTCAGTAGTTAAAAATGTCAATAGTGCTGAGGTTTAGAAACCCTGATTAAAATGAAAGAATCTTGAGCATGATTCTCAGATTTCAAAAGTTGGTGAGGTAACTCAATACATTGGGAAGCAGAAATAATATTCAAAAGACAGGCAGTGAACAATAATCAATGAAATAATGTAAACTCTTACATTGCAAGGAGATAAGAGAGAGGGGAGGTGAGGGACAAAAACATACTTAGAATTTAAAGGGGATTTAGCTCGACAGCAGATATGAAAAGGCTAGAGAATTTTATTTCATCAGAATCCTATGTACCAGTATGCTGTAACTGCTACAGATACAATCTTAGGCTACTTTAAAGATAAGAATAGTTCACAGATCCATGATAATAGTACAGTGGTTCAAGCCCAGTGATGGCAATAGCAAATTCTCAATATGTATTGATATTTGTAGGATGAATGAATTAGTCAAGCTATATTTCAGTTCAGTATTATGTTCAGTTCTGTATACTTCATTTTTGTAAACAAAACCAGTTTGCTGCTTGTGGACAGTCAGGATTGTGAAGGAACTGAGATGTTTAACCCAGATACATGAGTGCTAACTTACATAGAAGAAGAATATTAGAACCAATGGACAGAGGTTTCAAGGATGTATGTAGCAGTTCAATTCAAAGGATGATCATAGTTAGAGCTATCCAACACTGAAAAAGCATGTTTCACTTAGTGGTTACTTAGCACCCCAATACAGAGAATATTCAAAAAGGTCAAAGTTCTTGCCATCAGGGAGCTCACAACACAGTGGACATGTAATAGCTAACCGCTTACATAAAACTTTACCATATGCCAAGCACTATTCTATATACTTTACATTTATTAACTCAGTTAATCCTCACAGCAACCCTCTAAGGTCATATTCTTTGTTCCTACTTTACTTTAGAGAAATCAGAGACTACAAAAGCATAAATTAAAATTTGAACCCAGATAGTCTCGCTGCAGAGTCTATGTTCTTACATAGTTCATTGCTAGTAATAGACATATAAAGTGCTAGACAGATGACCCGTGAGACTTAACAGAAGGGATTCTAGTATTGGGTAGAAGGTTACATACAGCTTTAAGTAAGTTGTTTCCCCTTATCACACAGCTAATTATGGGACCCTAACCTTCCTGTTCTTGGTCTGTTCTGTTCCCATTAAGACAGTGGGAAACAGCCTCAATCCTCATCCCTATTTGTTCTTTTCTACAGTTGTTCATACATTGTGTTCTCTTTAAAGAATAGGCTTTAAATTTGTGTAATTCCTACCTGTAGGGTATTGCAGGCAACAAGGATCTTTCACAAAGGGCAGCCAAGTCTTGCCCCTGTACCACCTCTTCCTGAATATGGAGGAAAAGTTCGTTTTGGGCTGATCCCTGAGGAATTTTTCCAGTTCCTTTATCCTAAAACTGGTGTAACAGGTGAGCATTTGCCCAATGTTTGATAGTATGTTTAGATGGTATGGTTTATGTTAATCTAGCGTTTTAGTGGTCTCTTAACCTCTTCCACGTGTACCAGAAAAATCAAGTCAGTTGTTTTTAAAGTAAAGTGTGGAAGTGATTCAATATAAGAATTGATTTGGTTGCTTTAACTTGTCTTTAGAATAAATTTGTTTGGGATTTTAACTTGATTTTATAACATTGTCTCCATTTCTTGTTACACCAAATTTATTGACTGCCTGCTGTATGCTAGGCACTGTTCTAGGCATACAGTGGTGAACTAAAGTGCCTACCATCATGAAACATACATTCTTTTGTAGGATAGACAATAAGGAAATGAGTAACTGGGGAATTCCCTGGCGGTCCAGTGGTTAGGACTCGGTGCTTTCACTGCAGGGGCCCGACTTCCATCCCTGGTCAAGGAACTAAGATCCTGCAAGCCGCACAGAGTGGCCAAAAAAACCAAAATTGAGTAACTGTATAATACATTTTCAGGTAATGATAGAAAGAGCTGTGGATTAAAATAAAGCCAGGTAAGGCAATAGAGACTCTGTGTTGTATGTATAATAACGAAAAAAGAGCTGGGCCATATTAATCAGGTTTTTTTTTTCATTTTAAAAAGGCATAGGGACTTCCCTGGTGCCGCAGTCGTTAAGAATCCGCCTGCCAATGCAGGGGACACAGGTTCAAGCCCTAGTCCGGGAAGATCCCACATGCCACAGAGCAACTAAACCCGTGCGCCACAACTACTGAGCCTGTGCTCTGAAGCCTGCACACCTAGAGCCCTGCTCCGCAACAAGAGAAGCCACTGCAGTGAGAAGCCTGCGTGCCGCAACTAGAGAAAGCCCGCGCACAGCAACGAAGACCCAACGCAGCCAAATAAATAATTTTATTTAAAATAAATAAATAGAAAGGCATAAACTGTACTGAAACCTTACATTTTTATAATACTATATGCTTTCACTTTATTTAATCCATACAACAGTTCTATGAAGACTTTCCTTTTTTTTTTTTTTTTTGCTATACGCGGGCCTCTCACTGTTGTGACCTCTCCCGTTGCAGAGCACAGGCTCCGGACGTGCAGGCTTAGCGGCCATGGCTCACGGGCCCAGCCGCTCCACAGCATGTGGGATCTTCCCAGACCAGGGCATGAACCCATGTCCCCTGCATCGGCAGGCGGACTCTCAACCACTGCGCCACCAGGGAAGCCCGAGACTTTCTTTTTTCAAATAAATTTATTTATTTATTTTTGGCTGCATTGGGTCTTCATTAATGCTTGCAGGCTTTCTCTAGTTGTGGTGAGCAGGGGCTACTCCTTGTTGCGGTGCGCCAGCTTCTCACTGCGGCGGCTTCTCTTGTTGCAGAGCATGGGCTCTAGGCACACAGGCTCAGTAGTTGTGGCTCGCGGGCTGTAGAGCGCAAGCCCAGTAGTTGTGGCGCATGGGCTTAGTTGTTACGCGGCATGTGGGATCTTCCCAGACCAGGGCTCGAACCAGTGTCCCCTGCGTTGGCAGGTGGATTCTCAACCACTGTGCCACCAGGAAGCCCTATGAAGACATTTTTATTACCCAGAACTAGAAAACAGAATTTGCTGAGATTTATTCTCTCTTTAGTGACTGAGTTGGACTTAAACACAGGTTCTACAGTTAAGTTTAGTGTTCTTTCTACTACATGCACTGCCTCTCTTGCTGTTCCCAAATATTGCTATGACCATGAAACATTGAAAACCAAAGTTTTTTTTTTTTTAATCTCTCCAGGGAGTGGCCTAAGGTAGCATTTCTGTAACTAAAATTGCAAGAAACATTAATTTCCTCAGACCTCCATAGCTGATAAAAATGCTACATATGATAGGCCTTTCTTATCAATTCACATTTAAAATTTATACATTGAAGGCAAATTTTTTTAAAAAAATGAACTGTTGAAACTTTGTATGGGAAACTGGGTAAAATATATTTGAGAATGTAACCCTTTTATTCTCATAGTACATCCTAACATCCTTTGGTACCTGTATTGCTCAAAAACATTGTAAACGGCTTCCCCAAAGACCTGCTTTGACCTTACCTAGCATCTAATGAGGCATAGAGGAAAATCCTAAAGAAATGTACCTTATGGTTTGTGTCCTTTCAGAATTCATGGCCTGGTTAAAGAAAAAGATGGCTATATTTGAAGCATTATAATAAGACACTACAGGAGTTGAGAATCCTGTTATTTAGTTCTTTTACATACATGCTTCATAGTTGTATCTGTTTTGTTTGCTTATTTCCAGTGTCAGGTTCCTATTCAGTAAATAGGCAAGAGTGGATAAATTTTATTCTGACCAATGTCCCCACTCAATAAATAGTATATTTTGCTGCACAAATTACTTCTGGAAGTAACCTGACATCTTTATAAAATACTTCCTGTTTGTTGAGCAATTGTACCAGATACTTAATATACATTATTTCTCAATTTCATCAACCCTATGAGGAAGGTACTATTCCCATATTACAGTTAAGGAAACTAAGCTCAGAGATCATCTATATTGCTCAGTGTTTTATAAGTTGCAGAGTCAGATTTCCATGGGTCCAGATCCTTGTTCTTGCAACCCTACCATACTGGTTCTCATCTACTGTTCCATCTTTGAATCTGATTATTTAAAATCATTATTAACTTTGCCTTCAACTGATTAAGTACGGAAGTATCTCTGTCTTCCCCTTTTAGACATAGCATATCCATCATAAAATAACTTTTTCTTCTTTTAGGACCCTACGTGCTCGGAACTGGACTTATCTTATATTTACTCTCCAAAGAAATATATGTGATAACTGCAGAGACCTTCTCTGCCATTTCAGCAATAGGGGTGCTTATCTATGTAATTAAAAAATATGGTGCCTCTATTGGTGAATTTGCTGATAAACTCAATGAGGTAAGAACCATAAACCTTATTTCCCATTTTAGACCGTAGTAGTCGTGTCAAAGCCATCAAGTGATGTTTTTGGTACGAATGATAGGGGCAGAGCATATAGAAATGAATCTAATTATAATGATTTCGGTTATAAGTGTTAATGTTATTACTAACTTGAGATCAAGTTTTAAAAATCTACCAAACTTTCTCCAGCTTTTCCATAGTTTTGTTCATTCAACAAGATACTGCATAGCTATTTTTGGCAACTCTTTTCAAGGATTTGTATAGTTCTCCCTATGTGTGGGTGTTTTCACAAATGAGGGATATGACTTCGAGGAAGCATAAAATGAAACTTTTTTATTACCCTTGGTACTTTCACTGATCTTTGTTGTCAATATCATAATTGCAGCAAAAAATTGCCGAACTGGAAGAAGTGAAACAGGCTTCCATCAGACAAATCCAAGATGCAATTGATCTGGAGAAGTCACATCAGGCACTGGTTCAAAAGCGCCATTACCTTTTTGATGTCCAGAGGGTAGGTTTCAGAACTTTCTAAGGCAAGTGAAGTTACTCATTTGTGTGCATTTAACACAAAAAATTAGAATCTTATGAGGAATAGTTGGATAAGTTGAGCATATTTTGTTTAGAAAAGAGAATATTTGGGTGGGGGTCTAAATAGCAGTTACAGCTATTAACTATACAGTGGACCTATCCAGTAGAAAAATAACTAGAATTATTACTCTAAAACTAGAAAGAGTAAAAAGTATAAAAGGACACATTTGGAGTCCACACAGAGGGAAAATAATTCATTAAGTTATAGCAGATTAAAAAATGGCATTCATTGTAAAATACAGTAGGTGAAATACATGCTGTGCATTTCATACATGCTCACTATAAGAAAGTCTTACTTAACATACTTGCTATAAGAAAATCTGATACCTTACATTCCAAATTCACAAAGCAGATTCAGATGGCCGGAGAGCTTTTTACTATGATCAAAGCATAACTAGATTCTAAAATATTTAGTTTCTAAAACAACTTTAGGAACGTGTTCAAGCATTTGGTTGTTAATTACTTTGAGCCCAGTACTTTATGCCTGATATTTAAAGTGAGATGAGCTTATATTGAAATTTTATGTATAGAAACACCTATGAAATGAAAAATTAGGTGCTAAGGTAAAATAAGTATCTGAAATATTAAGGGTTTGGGCCAGTATTTCCTAGTGTAGTCTCGGTACCATGTGCACCAGTCATCTTTGATGCAAATTTTTGGACCCATTCCAAGACCTGTGAGATTAGAACCTCTGTTAGGAGCTATCCAAGAGTTTGTATTTTTTTTTAAATAGGATCCTGAGAGATTCTTAAGCACATAAATGTTTGAAATCCTCGGAAATTTTTCAAATATCTTTCCGTGCAGATTTAGGTTACAATCTAAATGCTTCCTGCCTCATAGAAACTATGTATGCACAAACAAAATCTGGCTTTTGAAGATGTAGCTTTTTTATAAGATTCAAATGATAGTCATTAAAATTTTTATTTATTTATGAAATATTTAATAGGTATATTTTATATGTGAACACTGGTCAAGGCAAGGTGCTGGGAATACAGCAGAGAGCAAAACAAAGTCTGCCTTCCTGGGGTCTCTCTCCTAGCCAGGGGTTGAGAGAAGGACAGGAGAAAAATAATTAAGCAGATGTGAATGTCAACTGGTATGAAGTACATGTAGAATAATGAACTTATGTTAAAGGAAAAGGGATTTTAGAAGGAGGGAGTTACTGTTTTTATTGGGCAGGCTAGAAAGGCTTCTAATGTGATAATTTGAATAGAGACCTGTCAAAGTGATGGTTCAGGCTGTGTGGATTTCTGAGGAAATAGTATTCCAGGCAGAGGGAAGAACAATTGCAAGGGCCCTAATCCTGGAAGCTTGCTTGGTATAGACAAGGAAAAGTAAGGAAGCCACTGTAGCTGAAGTGGAATGAGTGAGGAGGAAGGTAAAAGGAAGCAAGGCAGGGAGTGGCCAAGGGCTAGGTCATGTAAAGTCTTATAGGCTTCTATGAGAACTTTGACTTGTACTCAGAATGAGAGAGAAAGTCATTGAATCTTTTAGGCAGAGGAGTGATATGATCTTGCTCGTGTTTTGAAGGGCGACTCTGATTGCCTTGTTGAAAGTAGCCTTCAATCTTGTATGCATTGGTTCGAAATGCCAGTGAGTTAGCCAAATAGAGTTGTTAGGTAGACCATTAGATATATGAGTCTGGAGTCACTGGGAAGAATTCCAGACTGGAGATGAGGGAATCATGAGCTTACAAGAGGCACAGCTGTAAGACTGGAACATGAAGGAAAATAACTGGAGGAAACAAGGATTATTTTAATTTGTAGTTGCCCTACTTATGGTCAAGTAGTAAGGGTCTAAGAATTTGGCATAGGATTTAGCAACATGGAGGTTGGTGACCTTGGTAAGGGCTATTTGAGTAAGTTGAAGGAAAAAAAAAATGGAAGAAAAGAAATTGGAGTCTGAGTATAGATCACTGTCAAAATTGTGAAGGAGTTTTACTGTATTGGGCAAAGAAATGACTCAGTAGCTCAGAAGGTAGGATGTAGTAATCAAGAGAGATTTTTTAAAAGATGGAAAGTATAACTACATGTTAGCATCTGATAGAAGTTAGTAGAGAGAGAAAAATTGATGCAAGAAAGGGGTGGGAGTAGGGAGGAATTTGCTGGAGCCATGTCCTTCAGTAGGCCAGAGAGTTTAGAATACACAGGTGGAAGGGTTGGCTTCAAGAGCAGAGACAGTTCAGCCATAGTTAAAGGAAGGCAAAGTATGTGAGTATGGGTCCAGGTAGATTGGTTTATATGCTGGTAGAAGTTTGTGAAGTTCTTTGTTTCCTTTTTCTCAGTGAAATAGGAAGGTAGGTCATTTGTTGAAAAGGAAAGTAGTCAAGGAGATATACTAGAGATTTCAGGAGAAAGAAGAACAGGAGAGTGAATGGACTAAAAAAAAAAAAAAAATGTACCTAGAAGTATTAAGGGCCTACTTGAGATTAATATCTGAAGCCTTTATATAAAACAGGCAGACCTATAAGCATTCTCATTACAGACTAGAAGATGACAATATACCTGTCACCATTACTAATTCAATGTTATTCTGGCAGTAGTAGCTGATATTAGAGAAGAGAAAGAAATAAGTATAAAAATTAGAAAACATAAAGTTATCCTTACTTACAGATTACCTGATTATATACCTCAGAAAGCTGAGAGAATCAACGTAACTTTTAAAACCATAAGCAAATTCAGTAAGGTATTTGGGTACAAAATTAATATCTAATAAACAAAATCAGTAGCCTTCTGTATATAAATATCAGTTAGAAAATATAAGAGAAAAAGGTAAACCATTTAGGAAGAGATACCTAGGAGTAACTTAACTAGAAATAGAGTCTTTTTACTTTGAAAAATGTGAAATGCTTGTGAGGTATAAGGTTCTGAGAACCTAGACTCAATAATATAAGGATATCAAATTCTCTCTACTTTAATCTCTAAATTTTACACATTCCTAGAAAGAAAATACTAATAGACTAGGAGTAGGGGGTGTTGGGACTTGAACAAATTGATTATTACTAGAAAAAGTAAAAAATATTCAGGAGTATTCTGAAAAAGAGAAGTAGTGAACAGTCCTACCAAATATTAAAGCTCAAAATTGTAAAGGAACTTTAAATAAATAGCTTGGCACACTACATGAATAGAAAGTCAGATTGGCACAGCACTTGAGAGAGAGGGTCTAGAGATAGACCTAAACTCATAAGGTAGTTTAGATCGGTGGCATTTTCATCTTAGAGGGGAAAGACAGACGGGTATCTTTGTAGGTACAGAGTTGTTTTCCTACTTTTTGCCTTATACCAAAACAAATTAAGATGAATTAAAGATCTTTAGATAAGAAATGAAACCATAAAAGTAGAAAAAGAGAACATGAAAAACAATACAATACCCTTGGAATGGCAAAGCCTTTCTAATAAAGACAACAAAATGCAGAAACTTGTGTGGTGACGTATGTTAACTAGACCCATTGTGGTGATCATTTCACAATATATACAAATACCGAATCATTGTGTTTGTATGCCTGAAATTAATGTAATATTGTATGTCAGTTATACTTCAATTTTTAAAAATCCAGGAACTATAAGAGGAAAATTAAGTTGATCTCATTAAAAATTTAAGTTTTACCTGTAGAAGTTACCATAAACAAAGTTAAGAGACAAACTAGGAAGAACACATGCATTCCATATGACACCAAAGGGTGGTTACCTTAGGATAGACCAACATCCCAGTAGAAAACTAGGTGTAGGACATGCACAATTTATAAAGATGTAAGTAAATGTAAATGGCTTCTAAATATGTAAATTTTCTCCTTAGAGAATGACAATTAAAATTGATATTTTTTTCTGCTTATCAGAATAGTCGAGAGTAAAATGTTTTATAAACACCATTGGCCAGGGTTTAGAGTAACAAGCATTTGTGTTGCTGGTGAGAGTATGAAGCAGTACAACTTTTCTGTGGAATTGGACAGTGTTAATCACAAGTTAAAATGGATCTTTAAGAGCCTGGGCTTTGTAGCCTGACTCCTTGTAGTCAGGTCTTGGCTTCACAGTTCATTTGCTCTATAACCTTGGACAAATTCCTTAGCATCTGCCTCTGTTTCTTCCTCACTGTAAAATGAGTATAATAATAGTAACTATCCTATGGTGTGATTTTAAGATTTAATTGAATTGACACACAGTGTTTAGAACATAGTAGGTACTCAACAGTTATTAGCTATTATTTGACCCAGCAAGTATTCACACATAAGTGCAAAGACACATACAATATACGCAGCAGCATTATTTGTTAAAGAATTGGAAGCAACCTAATCTATTAATAGAGCTTAAATAAATTATGGATTATGAGACACCAAAATAGTAGAATCCAATGTAACTTTTAAAATTAAGGTGGGTCTTTGTGTCAAAATCAGTAAAAGTGATGTTTGTGTGTGTACATATACCTATGTTTTGTTTATTAAATATTTCTGGGAGAGAATACAAGAAATAGAGGAAGATGGTAGCCTATGGAGGGGCTGGAGGAGACTTATTTTTTACTGCATATACTTTTAAATATATTTTTACTATATGCTGTTAGAATTTTTCTACCACATGCATGTGTTACCTATTCATATTAAACAAATGAATTTTGCATAAAATACAGGTAATGATGGGTATTCTAATGGGCAGAATCCTCAGAATGGAAGTGATCCTTTAACTGTGCAAACAGTTTTCATCACTCCTTAATTTTCTTCAGAATAACATTGCCATGGCTTTGGAAGTTGCTTACCGGGAACGACTGCATAGAGTATACAAGGAGGTAAAGAATCGCCTGGACTATCACATCTCTGTGCAGAATATGACACGTCAGAAGGAGCAAGAGCACATGATAAACTGGGTGGAGAAGAACGTGGTACAGAGCATCTCTGCGCAGCAGGTACATGACGTTTTGAAGCTTCTGGAGTTGTATTGATATCTCTGACAGGATAAAAATAGCTCGTAAGGAGTCTTTAGCCTAGAGACATTGGGGTGGTCCTGGTTCACTTTTCTGGTTAGTGGTAACCTAGAAGATGCTGTACAACTGCCTTGGTAGGTTGCCTCCTTCCTCAAAGTTTGGCTTCCAAAGAGTGTCTCACCTCATGGATCAAGAGGAGTGGAAAGATGGTTGAGAACACTCGTTGAACAGACGTATGTTCAAGTTCCAACATTTGGGAAATATTAAGCAACATATTTCATTTCTCTGTAAAACAGAGGCTGGACAAGTCTTCTTCTGAGCCTCTTCCATTTTCTGAATAATTCCATGATTTCCATTCCATGCCATTTCCTCTTCCCAGCCACTTAATTCATTGGTCTTGAACAGAAATGTTTTCTATTTTTTACCTAAATGTGATTTCCTTTTTAAATTTTATGTTCTTTATTTACTTTTGACTTTATTTCTTCTTTCCTAGATTTATAGTATACTTAGGCATTTCTGATCATTTTCTGCATAACCATGCAGGACTAGAAAAACAGGGTCTGTCAACATTTAATGCCTTGGGTTTTTTAAAATAAACTGTCTTTTACATAAAAGTTATATACTTATTTAAGAAACTTGAAAAGACAAAAGTATACAAAAGAGACTAAAAGTTATTTTTATTCTTTCTTAACATTTCTCTATTACTAATGTTTGTTAGGTTGGTCTTTTTTAAGCAGCTGTTAGCTGTAAAACCTAACATCAGTGGCACATGGTTACAGGAGTATCTAGCTTCAACCTCTAAACAGGTTTCACTGATGAAAGCTATGAGCCAGGGGACTTTAAATTCCCTCCATTTGCTTAAAATAAATTTTGCATCTCCCCCATGTTAAATAATTAAATAATTTTTTGTAGTCTATCATATTAAGCCAGTACTCCATCTTGAGATTCCTAGGAACCTCTTATAGGAGGTATCCTTTAGAATTACAGTGTTTATACCCTTCCATGATTTGAAAAGTTCTAACCAGCTTTCTCTTTCCTTATCACAGGAGAAGGAGACAATTGCCAAGTGCATTGCAGATCTAAAGCTGCTTGCAAAGAAGGCTCAAGCACAGCCAGTTCTGTAAATGCATCTGTCCCAATTGAGACAGCTAGAAACAGTTGACTGACTAAATGGAAACTAGTCTATGTGACGGAATCTTTCTGTATTGCTCTATACTGAAGTTAGTTTCCCTTTCCTAAAAATGAAAAGTTTGAGTTTCATGTAATGAGAGAATTAAAACAATCTATTGGCCAGGAAGATGTTTCTCTCATCCTTCTTGCTCTGCATTTTGAGTTGTTCCATGATCACTTTTGAATAAGCAGTTTGCTTTGAATAAAGTTTGGTACCTGACTAAAAATTGTCAAGTTAGAGTTTAAATTTGAATTAATTCAGCCATCTTACAATAAAATGACAGTTGAAACAAAGTTTTTCAAGATGCATAATTTTCTGAAATGTTATTTCAACATTTATTATATGGGTAAAAATTAAAGATGTCATTGAGCTGATAATATTGTTTATAAAACTTAGTGGTAAGCTATTTCTTGCTGACAGGTTATGGAGAATTTAAAACTTTTCAGTATTCTTAAAATAACTAAAGGAAATCTTGTATATCAAATTATATCATTGACTTTATTTTCATTTTAGTAGTATGTCAACAGAAAATATTATGGACTCAATGTGTCATAAAATCACTCTGAAGAATCCAGCAGATAGTTAGAAGATTCTGCCCTTCCATTGGTTTGTCTATATTTAATTCTCCCATACTTGTATAAGGATTTACTTGTAAACAGATGGATAACTTACATAATAGGAAATATTTGAAAATACGTACCATATGGATAATTGCCATTTTCATTGACTTCCTAAGGTTTTAATTATATAACAATCATTTAAGTCTGTATTTATTTATTTATTGATGGCTAATGTATTCATCTTATATAGAAATCAGGCTGATATTATTAAGATGTTACTTAAAGGAGATTTTGATAGGGTCAGCAGAGGTGTTCCAGATTATTCATTATACAAAGAATTGCCGTGCTAAGCACAATCCTGCACTGGTCATACAGATAAAAAGTTCCTACCTCAGGGAGTTAAATATCTACTGGAAAGGCAGTAAGGATATGTGATACAGTACAGATTTTAGGTGTTTTGAGAGTGTAATGACAAGCACCATTTTAGGTAGTCTCAATAACCTCATCAGTGTCCTTGTACATAACTGTATCAGTCAGCATTCAGTCAGAGAAGCAGCGCTACTAGGATATATGCTTATAGGTAAGGGATTTGACTTTATGCTGTCACGGGAGCTGGTTAAGCCATCTCTGTAAGCTCTTAATCTTGTTTCTGATGAAGGAGCTTGACGTGCATGGAGCAGGCATTTAAGAAGGGAAGGTGGATGTGAAATGGGAGCGGGTAGGAACAAGTGTAAATCACAAGCAAGGACTGAAACCCTTGTCAGTTTTTATTACCTCAGATCTTCATGGTATGATTGTCCTGCAAAACCCCAAGCCTTTCCTCACACACCTGGTCCAAAGGTTAGAGAAGCTGAAGGATGACCCAGAGAAGGGTTGGGAAGTTATAGGCCCAGCTACAATTGGTGAGTTAACAGATTAGCACCAGTATGTATAAGCCACAAAGTTGCTTCTTTGCATTCGCAAAGGCAGCTAGGCTAGGCATGAGACTGTCAAAGTCCTCTGGCCAGTCACTTCATAATTAGAACAGTTTCATCTGGGTCTCCTCATAAGGCTATCAGATCCAAGCAGAGACTGACAGTGTGCCCCATAGTCCCCAGAACCAGGGAGCCAGATGAATGACATCCTGTACTCACAGCAACACTTACAACATGTTTGTATGGATAGCCAACACGATGCTCTGACACCTGGACTTTACTGTTGCAGCCAGCTGTAGAGCATATGCTGCTCCTTTTGGACAAGGATGTGCTGGAGGAGTTTGTTTACCTGTGCCCAAGGAGCATGGTATCACAACCCAAAGTGAAGCCAGTCAGGAATGAAAAGGAGGTAATAAGCTGAGCAGGTTTCCTAGAGGGGAAACGCCAGACTACAGCCCCAAATCTTTACCTTCAGAATACCAGAAATTCATTTCTATGTGGTGAATGTGGTTTGGTATGTACAAATTGGCTGCATGGTAATTGGTTGTGCAGTCTCAAGAGTATCACAGTTATTTTTTAAATGTATGGTATGAAAAAGTTCAATTGATTTGAAGTATTTTCGTATTAGCAAAAGAAATGGATTACATTTGTCAATGATAAAAGGGAAATGTTGGGTTCTTTTGTTATAAATTTTGTAATGACCGTAAAAATAATTTCTAATCCATGATAACTAATAAGAATCTGAAGATCATTCCATCAAGTGGTCAGTTAACTAATTCACTGGCTATTCTTAGCATCATTCATGGTGGAATAATCAGATATCTTTCCTGATCTGCTGAAATACGAAGTAGTATCACCTGTGATGTAATCTAGCCAGACGTATTTAACCTGAATCTCTCAGGACTTAAGATGTAAATTCCAGTTTCTAGGAAATGCAGGAGATAGAGGGACATTATAAATGACACCAGGGGAAGTAATTAAATTAGGGATTATGCTTCCATTTATTGGGTCATAGTGTTTTTCATTAAAATTTTTAATGTTCTCTGTTAAGGTCCTGTACCTTTTTTTGTAAGATTTATTCTAAAGACTTTCTATTCTTTATTAAGATTATTTTAAAACGTACCTGGCTTAAAAGTAAATTTTCTGTTTGTTGGAGTAAGAAAATTAAGATTCAGATTCCTGCAACTTTGTTGCTGAGGTTAAATGCAATTAAGATGCAAAATGCTGTAACATTTGCTTCCAGTAATGGTAGACTAGGTAATTCAGACCAACTCTCCTACTGAAGAAATTTTTCGCATCTGGGTGAAATACAAAACATATCTTAAAAATATTAAAGCACCGGATGGCCCTAGAGATTGTCATACTGAGTGAAGTAAGTCAGACAAAGACAAATATCATATGATATCGCTTATATGTGGAATCTAAAAAAATGGTACAAATGAACCTATTTACAAAACAGAAATAGAGTCACAGATGCAGAAAACAAACTTATGGTTACCCAGGGGGAAAGTGTGGGGGAGAGGGGGGATAAACTGGGAGGTTGGGATTGACATACACACACCACTATACATAAAATAGATAACTAATAAGAACCTACTATGTAGCATGGGGAACTCTACTCAATACTTTGTAATGGCCTATATGAGAAAAGAACCTAAAATGAGTGGCTATATGTATATGTGTATGTATAACTGATTCACTGTTGTACACCTGAAGCTAAAAACACTGTAAATCAACTATACTCCATTAAAAATTAAAAAAATCTCTGCCTAACCTAGAAGTTTTGTAATTTTAGCTCCCACAGGTAAGGATATGTACATAATTTGTAGATGGTGTGAAATAAAGAGTTTAAGACTTTTTTGTTTTTCATATGCATTCCCAATTGTTTCAGCACAGTCTACTAAAAAGATTATCTTCCCCCCCCCCAGAAAAATAGAATAAAATAAAATAGATAATAAGAACATACTGTATGGCACAGGGAACTCTACTCACTTCTCCATAATGACCTATATGGGAATAGAATCTAAAAAAGAGGGGACATATGTATCTGTATAACTGATTCACTTTGCTGTACAGCAGAAACTAACAACATTGGGAATCATCTATACTCCAATAAAAATTAAAAAATGTTAAAGCACCAAGAGATCATGAGAAATCATCAGATCAAGAACTGAGAGAGAGTGGAAATTCAGAGAGGTGAGGTTAGCCCTCAGGACCATTTTTGTCCTGGGAGCATTTGCCCATCTGAAAGATATGGCTAAGACACTTAGTCATGTTTTTGGTCGCTTCACAGGGCTAGAGGAACAAAAGATGGAGTTCAGGACCCATCAAGAATAGAGACCCTAATAAACCACCACTGCCTACCACCACCACTACCATTCGCACAGTCAGCTGCACTCGAGGAATAAAGATGAAGACAAATAACCAGCCCTTGGGAGTTCCCTGGTGGCCTAGAGGTTAGGATTCCGGGCTTTCACTGCTGTGGCGTGGGTTCAACCCCTGGTTGGGGAACAGATCCTGCAAGCTGCGGGGCGTGGCCAAAAATAAATAAATAAATAACCAGTCCTTAATGAACAGTGTCCTGCTGTGAACAGATGACCCAGTAAAAACTCAAGCCCCGAACTTGGATTAAGGTGATCACAGATTGCTGGTGCCCCCAGGTGGCTGGCAAAAGCAATAAAAGAAACCTTGTTTGGAGGAAGATAACATGATTCTAGACTTGCACTCCGATCACTACATTACGTTGTGTTAAGACTCCATCTTAGCAGGCTGGAGAGAGACTCTCCTGCTGGCCTTGAAGAATCAAACTGCCAGGTTGTGAACTGCCTGTGGACAGGACCACATGGCAGGGAACTGCAGGCAGCTTCTAGGACCTGAAGACAGACTCTAGCTGACAACCAGGGCCCTCAGTTATACAGCTGAAAGAAAATTTATTTGTCCAGCAAATAGGGGATGGATTTTCCCCAGTCAAGCCTCTGATGAAACCAAGGCCTCAGCTAATACCTGAACTGTAGCCGGGTGAGACCCTGAAACAGAAAACCCTATTAAGCTGTGTCCCAGCCTCTAACCCACAGAAACTGTGAGAAAAGAAATGTGTACTGTTTTAACCATCTACACTTGTGATAATTTGTTATACTGTGATAGAAAACTGTTACAGCAAGGATCCCTACCATTTCCATGCAGCATGATTTTTCCTGATTCACCCACTGTGGGTTCCCTTTCAGGGGGTCCAATCCAATTTCCCACTTTGGTGCAGGCTTTAGACTTGGTTTCCTGACCTCATACAAGGCCTTCAGACCCAATCTTCAGGTCACAAAAAATTGGTGGCTATTCCCAGAGCAAACCTTAGCTTGAGGTCTCACTCAACTCTCTCTTTCTGATCTTTGAGGATTTCCAACATCTAGTTCAGCCATGCATTTTTTTTAATAAATTTATTTTATTTTTATTCATTTTTAATTTTGGCTATGTTGGGTCTTCGTTGCTGTACACGGGCTTTCTATAGTTGCAGTGAGTGGGGGATACTGTTCGTTGCAGTGCACGGTCTTTTCATTGTGGTGGCTTCTCTTGTTGCGGACCACAGGCACTAGGCGCATGGGCTTCAGTAGTTGTGGTGCTCAGGCTCAGTAGTTGTGGCACACAGGCTTAGTTGCTCCACAGCATGTGGGATCTTCCTGGACCAGGGATCGAACCCATGTCCCTTGCATTGGCAGGCGGATTCTTAACCACTGCGCCACCAGGGAAGTCCCCAGCCATGCATTTTTAAATTATGGTGTTTCAAATGTTTTATCCAGGATTTGCTGGTGTTCTTTAACGAGAGGA